CTATCCCAGTTTTCCAGCTTTGGCTCTAACGTTACCAAACGCCCATCTCCCTGCACCTACAGTGCTGTCTCTCGCCCCTTCACACCTCTGCCCATGCCGTTCTCTCTCCTTCAAGTGCCCTTCCCCCTGCCCCTCTTCATCTAGCCAGCTCTTACTCAGCTTTTGAGATCCAGATCATACATCATTTCTTCCAAGACAGATTCCCAAACTTTCTCAGTTCACAACCTTAACGTATCAGTCATTTTTACATAGAGCCTGTGGACCAACATAACTACCTAACAGTTCTGTTTATTTAGTTAGTTAGATCCAAACACCTTAATATGAATTTATGTCCTAACAACTTAGGAGCCATTTGAGAAAATAATACACATAACTTGAAAGAAAAATAACTTTTTTATTTCATTCTTAAATAACCTCAACTACTTACTAATGGGGCGTGTGTGTTGGGCACAACACAACTGCTCAAGACTAGGAATCAGATTGGACACCACCCCTCCCATTTCCTGTTCCACATTGATTTTTGTGAGTACTTGCTTTTTATTATGGCAGCTGCCAAAACGCCAGCTTCATGAAGACATGAGTCAAAAGGAATGCAGCACAAGCAAATACTGGAACTGTCACTATCTTGAGCTAGTAGCTTATGCAGTATCCAACAGGTGATGAGGACTGCTATGTCTCCCTCAAAAAATGTAAAATATCTGGTGGCACCTCTTTGGAGTTTGCTGTGGTGTCCTGACCTAGGGCAGCTTGATGTACAATTTGAGAACCTCAAGCCTAGAAACGCCCCCTACTGAGATAGATCCCCTATTTCGAGCCCCCTTGTAGTGGCCCTTAACATATTGCCTTGTAAGAAGCTGCTAGTGCCTCTTTCTTGCTCTAAGGCTGTGAGCTCTCTAAGGACAAGGACTGTGCTTTCCTCCTCTTCGTACACCCAGTGATAATGTGGGGCCTGGTTGGTGTTCAGCCGAGAGGAAGACACTGTAAAACCCAAGGGGCTGCAGAGGGGTCACCCAGGATGACAATGACACAGGGAATTCCAGTCAAGCTCCAAAGCTATGGTTCTGAGAGGGAATGCAAATCCTCTGGACCTGGGAGCGGGAGCCGCCTGAATCTGCTCAGTCAGGCCTGAGTCAGCCAAGGGATCAGAGGCCATTGTCTCTGACAGGCACCGAGCCGTCAGAACAGCTACGCTCAACAAAATCTGAGTTTTGTTTTTGGTTTTCATTTGGTTTCCTGGTAATAGGTCCTTCAGAGGAGAAGGAAAAACTAGGATGGAAGGAGGAAAAAGGGAGAGGGAGGGAGGGAGAAAGGGAGGAGAGCTGTTTTGTTGCGGGTAAACTAGGAGAAAGATTTTTCCTTTCCAAACCTCCTTCAAAGGCATCAGGGGATCCCTGTGTCCCTGGGGCTAGAACAACCTCGAATCCCAAAATCAGTGAAGCTGAGGGTGGCAGATGGCAGGAGGAGCCGCAGCCAGAGCGTAGCAAGACCCTCGGTGGGTGCCTCTGGTTCCTGCCCCGCGGGCTAATGTCCTCACATCTGCTGGCTGGAGTTTCTGATGAGCCGTTGTTTTTATCTTATTTGTGCTGTTTTTCCCTGTCCTTCCTAGGCATGACAGTTTGCATCCACTTTTTTTTTTTTTATTCTACTACAAATGAACCCTAGACATAATTGGGAAGGTTAGGACCAGGATTAGAAATCAAACTTATGTTCACACGTGACAGAACTTCAACAGTTCACACATACCACTAATTCTAACCAAGCAGGTCCCACGTTAGTCATTCATTGCTATAATTCATTGCTGTAATACAATGGCTGGGCAACTGCATTTTAGTTTAAAGAGATACTCCCCCCTTATCTGCTCAAGGTCTCAGGTAGTCTTAGAAATAAACCCTCTGCCAACTTCTGAGTCATTCTGAAGGTAGCAGACGTTCAGGCTCCGTTGGGTTTAGGGTCCACCCCACACACTCCCACTTGCCTTTGGCACTGGCTGCATTGAGTGGACCATGGAGGTGGGTGCGCTATGGCAACAGTCTTTCCTCAGCACAGTGGAGAAGGGGAGAGTTGTTCTCTTCCTGCCCGTGTTCAGTTTGATCTGTGGGCAGAGTTCTGGGAACAAACTCAACCCAAATCATTGCAAGCCTGGAAGCAGGGTTTGCCTGGAGCAAACCTGAAACTGTAGGGAGGTCTCCAACAACCAGGTCTCCAACAACCCTAGGGAAGATGTGGTTTTAATCCTCTGCACCCTCCTGCCTAGAGAGTTGTACTCCCCTGTTTCAGATAGGTAACTTCTCCCTAGAAACTTACCAAAAAAAAAAATTTAAAGCACATTATTGCCAGAAAGTTCTTTCTGGTAGCTAACTTGAGCACTTCAAGTTAACTACAGCACGGCTGTAGCCAAAGCTTATTTTATTTTGGGTAACCCCACTGAAGAAGGGCCATCAGATACAATGACCTTCCACAAAATCGAGGACCTCTCAAACTTGTGTTCTTCAGAAAGAAGAATTTGGATTTTCTTAACTTTTCATCATAGCCTTATCACTCAAACCTTTAATTATCTTTCTCAATTCTTTTTCTTTGAACCCTCTCCAAAACTTGTATTGTAAGTTAGAGACCATAACTTAATTAGATCTTTCATTTCCAGAGGATATTCCTAGTGCTTCAGAAGAAATAAATTAAATTTGTCAGATATATTTCACTGGGGGAAGGGAATAGAAAAAAGAAATCGAATCCTTTATATAAATAGCACATTGTCTGTATCACAAACGAGTTTTCCTTTTTTCAACTGTGTTTGAAACAATGGGTCCTTTTTTGGTGACTTTAATCCCTCAGAGACTCTAATCTCCAAAAGATCATGATTTGCGTTTCTTTGTGAGCACGTGGCTTTAGTACTAAAAAAAAAAAAAAAAGCAAGCTGTGTGGCCTCTGATTCTCTAGTAAGCAGTAAGCAAACAGACAGGGCTGCAAACCGGCAGCGATGGAGCACCTTGTCAAGGCATGGGAATGAGTGTGTAGGTTTCCATGCTTCTAGCCTTTTCTGTACCAGCTTCTGCGGTGAGGGAATCAGACAGGTCTATGTTGTTTCTGCATAACTTCACCTTTCTGTAAGTTGGCTTGTCTTTTACAGAGTTGTTCTAAGTAGCTGTGCAATTTATTTATCCTGATCATTTGGCATCTGCTCGGATTTTCCTGGGGAAAAGGAAGGTCGTTGGCAAATCTTCCAACTGTGGAGCAGAGCGACAGAGCCTGGCCTCCACTCAGCCATCATCTTAGCCAGGCTGCTCTGAGAAAGTTTCTTCACTTCTTTCCACCTGAGATTTCCCTTGTGTGAAATGAAGAAGTTGGGCTCACAGATCATCTCTGAGGTCCCTTCCAGTCTGACCCTGCAATTCTTACAGCATCAGTCCTTCTAATTGCTCCATGATGGGGTAGGACAGGGAAGGAGAAGGTGGGCTTAGCAGCCAATTGGAGAAAAAATGCTTGGAAAGAATGTCAGTTTAATGTGGATTTTCTACCTTCTCATCTCCTTCCAAGGACCCTGGATCAGTGTAGTACAAAGAGACAGGAATGATCATTTATTGATCACCTACAATGTGTCAGGGACTATCCAATGCTCCTTTGTATGCTAGCTACCTTACTTAATATTTACCTCTTACTAGACAGTAGATATGCTATGTCTTCTGCCTCCACATCCATCCACTCCCACCAACCCTTACCCAGATGCGTCTACATCCTCTAAGTGTCACTTGAAATGTCACTTCCGGGGGCCGGCCCTGTGGCTCACTTGGGAGAGTGCGGTGCTGATAACACCAAGGCCAAGGGTTCGGATCCCACATAGGGATGGCCGGTTTGCTCACTGGGTGAGCATGGTGCTGACAACACCAAGTCAAGGGTTAAGATCCCCTTACTGGTCATCTTTTTAAAAAAAAAAAAAAAAAAAAAAAAGAAATGTCACTTCCTCAATGCAGCCTTCCCTGACCCTCAGGCCAAATTAGATCTCCCCGTCTCATGTTCTTAAGGTTCCCTGTGTTTTCTCTCCATTGTAACTACCACCGATGTAATTAAATGATTAGCCATACAATTAGTGTTTTCTTGCTGACTCAACTGAAAACTTCACAAGGGAAGGGACCATCTTAAGTCGTGTTCATTGCTGTTTTCCTAAAGCTTAGCACAGTGATGACAAAATAGTTGAGATTCAGTTGATATTTATTGCATAAAGGTAAGCACGAATGCATGAATCGATGAAAGGATGGATGAATGGTAAAGCTCAATAGGAACCCCAAACTATCGGGTTGTTGGAGACCTGCCTACAGTTTCAGAAGAGCTCTAGTTGTGAGCTTGTGCACAAGGGCGTCACTGCTACAACCATCCTGTGAATACTGACCCACGATTAGTAGGGCTTGGGGTTGTTTCTCCAGAAGTGGGAACGATAGCTGCATTGCTCTAGCCATTCTCTTTTACCCAGTGCTCCTTGTCCCCAAAGAGGTCTTTAAATTGTTGGACATGATGGCTACAGCCTGGGGCTGGTGGTGGTGGTGGCTGGAGGATGGTGGAGGGAGGCAGTGAATTGAACCAAACCCACTCTCCTTGAATGCATTTGGCACCATTCTTAACACTTTTAATCCATTCTGCCAAGAAGCTGCAAACAAGACTCTGCTCTGTAGGGGATCTGGGTCGGTGAGAATGAGTGGGTGAAGACCTTTAGGGAAACAAATATAAAACTATAATGTGGAAACTGTTGAAAATAGACTGCATGGGCAGCCAGGTCGCATGCAAATCTAGTGCTGACTACATGGACATTAGTTATAAGTCCTAACTTCCATATGCCTTGATGTGACCCTTGGAGGGAAACCTATGGCGATGGATCCCCCACACCACAGAGGAGTGAGTAGAATGCGGGCTTTGATGTTGCCTTCTTCATGCTCAACTCCTGCCACTGCTCCGAGAAGAGCTGAGATCAGGAGCCTAAAAATACTAACAAGAAATTTGATTTCTTCTTCCAGACAAAAAGCCCTGGCATCCACAGGAGGAAGAAGTGTTCAGGCAGCATGTGACTGGTTGGTATGAAATAAATAAATTGAGAAAATAGCATGTAATTAAGTCTGAGTGGATGTGGATGAGCGGGGATATGCAGTCTTTCTCTAATGGACCCTTCCAGGGGGAGATGGGCCCAAAGACCATGTGACAGGCCCATTTATCAAGTCAATGGCCTTCTCTGCCCTGGTCCCCAGGCATGCTTCTCCTTGGAGCTGTTTAAGGAGATTCAGAGTATTTCCAAAGTAGAGCCCCTCTCATGATATCTAACCCCCTCCAGTCACATAAAGATTCACTTTCAGTGTGTGGATGTTGGGTGGATCAATTTAGCAAAATCCTACTTACTTCCCAGTACCCAGAGTAGATCCCACAAGGCAGCCTTCCAGAACGTCCCTAATCTTTGGAAGCATGTGGTTTAATCACAGACTGACCCAAGGGACAGTATGGGTCGGAACCGTACTAGTGGATTGGGAAAGGATTTGGAGTTTATCCGAGAATGCTTCCTGGAGAGCAGCTTTGGGATGTTTTTAGGGAGTTGTGAGATGCGGGGGCAGTATGACAAGGAGAACAGAAGCTGATGTGTCTGAGAGTCGCTCATGAAGTGAGCTTCGAGGGGTAGAGTTTTAAAGCACAGATGAGAAGCCTTCCCCGGGCGTGCGCAGGGTGCAGAGTGCATGGAGCGGGGGTCTGTCTCTTTCAGCTGTTCCTTCCCTTCCGTTATTCTCAAGCAGGCCTGCATGGCTCTCTTCTCTCCTACAGGTTATTCTCACACGTCGGTGACCCCTTCCTGGATGACCCCCTGCCCCGGGAGTATGTCCTCTACCTCCGTCCCACCGGCCCCTTAGCACAGAAGCTTTCTGACTTTTGGCAGCAGTCAAAGCAGATCTGCGGGAAGAACAAGGCCCACAACATCTTCCCCCACATCACCCTCTGCCAGTTCTTTATGGTGAGCTGCAGTCCCCCCACCCCCAGGGAGCCTGGCTCCCGGTGTCTCAGTCAGCCCCCGTGACCTGGGGTAACAGTGGGAGCCACTCAGAAAGATTGGAGTCATAATCATGGGCTCCAAGAGCTGGAGGGACATGCAAGGGCTCAGTGTGGTCCATGGCGAGGGTCTCACCCCAACTCCTCTTTCCCTGCATCTGCTGAGGCCCAGGAACTCCCCAGGTTTAGTTTAGCATCGTGATGACCGTGTGCTCCTTGGGACCCCGGGGACAGCCTGACCTGCAAGTGCCACGCTGCTATGGTGGCAGAATAGAGTCACTGATCTAGTGTCGCTCTTGTCGATTGCCTACCCTCTCCTCACTTCTGTCGAGGTAAGAGCAGAAACCCAGAAAGCACAGAGAATAGTGAGTGTGGTCCATAGACAGGAAAAACTGTTTCAGCCTTGCAGACACTGTCCGCAGGCTTTTTTCACTAGACCTTTCTAGAGAAAGCAAAGATAACTTTTACCTGCCAGAGTTACATAGTCCGGCTGTCAGAAAGCTTATTTAAATGGATTAAATGACTACATGAAATCCTCTTCGTTATAATAAACACAAATGCATTTCACCTACTTTAGCTCTCTGTGGTAAAGGAGAAGAGTCGATTTATCCCCATAGATTTAAGACAAAGCAGAATGGTAACATTTTAAGACAGTTTTTTAAAAAATATTTTTGCTGTTTTTTCTAGATGTATTCTCTGTCTCGCTCTCTTTTAGGTGAAAATATGTTGCTAACACCTTCTCGCTTACCATTCAATCTGAAAATTAACGTGATTATCATTTCCTCTTAGTCATCCCAGGATCTTTCTCAAAAGGTTTAGAGACACTCGCTCCTCCTTCCAGTGCTCTGAGAAGTGGGAAGGAGCGTGTCACAGGCCTCCCTGGGCCTCGTTCTTCCCGGCTGTCATGGGGTGGAAGTAGAGCTTCTGATCACCTAAGAGGAATAGAGAACAGTAGAAAACACACAATTTATCCTGGGCTGTGGTGCTGTCTCCTGTCACGGTCCCCCATTCCTTTGTGTGTGTTATGTGAGCAAGAACTTTCATTTTTGCTAATTGATAAATAAAAAATTATATATAGTTATGATATACAACATGATGTTTTGATACATGTATACATCGTGTCATGGCCAATTGAGCTAATGAACATATTCATTACCTCTCATGCTTATTTATTTGTGGTGAGAACACTTAAAATCTATTCTCAGCAATTTTTAGGTACACGGTGCGTTGCTACGCACTATAGTCACCGTGCTATACAACAGCTCTCTTGAACTTATTTCTCCTGTCTCACTAAAATTGTGTGTCCTTTGACCAACATCGCCCCCCCAACCCCCATTACCCCATCACCCCTTTGCATCCCTGCTCTCTGCTGGACCAGTCCTACTGCATTTTGGCTGGGTTCAAAGGGGCCACTTCAGAGCAAGGGAAGACGGGAAGAGGTTGTGTATTTTCCAGTTTAATGTACCAGTTGGATAATCTATGTCGGGATAATTGGGAGTCTGCAGTTCCTCTCGCTCTGCACAGACAGGAGTGATGGTTAAGTAATTGCATTATCAGCCTCCAGCCTCTGGGGAGAGGCTGCCAAATGTTAGGTAGCAGCAGACCTCTGTGTCCCCTGGGCTTTGAATGCAGCCTGCTGTTTTCCCTTGCCAGTGCGAGGACAGCAAGGTGGATGCCTTGGGGGAAGCCCTGCAGACAACTGTCAGTCGCTGGAAATGTAAGTTTTCAGCCCCGCTGCCCCTGGAGCTCTATACCTCCTCCAACTTCATTGGCCTCTTCGTGAAGGAAGACAGTGCGGAGGTCCTCAAGAAGTTTGCTGCTGACTTTGCTGCAGAGGCTGCATCCAAAACTGGTGAGCAAATGCACCTGCCAGGCCAGCCCCAGGCCCTGCTAGTTAAAGGGTTGGGAAGGAAAGGGATAGGAGGGGATTGTGGAGGAGCAGGATGGAGTCGGGAGGTGGAGAGCCCTGCAGGAATGAGCTCACATGACAAAGAACACAGCCATTCCCTGCAGCACCCCACACCTCTTTGCTCCCTTGTGAAAATAGAGAACGACTTCTCTGCTAACCTTCTGGAGAGACTGTCCAAGGCTTACTCCCTAACACCCAAGTTGCAGGTACACAGATGACTGTTCCATAGGGAACTGAACATGTGTTCCTTTGTAGCAACACTATCTCCTTCCTGTTCAGAACTAAGGAAACTTCCTTTCTTCTCCTTGAGGTCCCTTCCTTGCAAGAGATTATCTGGGTCTCACAGTTCACTTCGAGGGGACCCAGAGCTTTTCTCAAGGTGTAGCATAGGACAAAGAGTAGAGTAGAGCCACTTCAGATTATATCATAATAAAATCCACTAAGCCCTCACCCATCAATTTGCTGAGACCCATTAGACAGGCCCCTAAGCCTCAAAAGTCTGTCCAAAAATGTAACCCCTTCAAGATGCCCCTGCTTTTTTCATGGTAGCTCTTAGTTCAAGCCAACTGATATTTCCTGTCAGAGGAATAAGCTTAAAGCAGTGCTCAGAGGGAGGGGACAAGAGGGACAAGCTTGCAAATCTCTCCTGTGTGACTACAGGTGCAGGCAGGCTCACTGAGACCTTTATGCAGTGGGTCAGGGAGAAATCCAAGGGGAAAAAGCCTCTGCTGGCTGCTTGCAGAAGGAGGTCACAATAAGCAGGTATCTGTCAGGCACCCACTATGGTTCATCCGCGAGGAGTGCGACAGAGAAGGGAATAAGAAGCGCTTTCTTTTTTTTTTTTTTTTTTTTTTTTTTTTTTTTTTTTCC